ACACAAACTGCTCAAAATATAGACTTTGATTTTTTTTTCTATTTCAATGAGAATAAATATTAATTTCATATATATAAAATTCTTTGTGTTCCTAATTTATTACTTAAATAAATTAGAAGCTATCTCTTTATTTTCCTCTAAAATGAATTCTTCTGATGTGCATCCAATAAGAATTTCTGTTATTTCAATAATATTACCTTTGCTCTATCCCTGTCATTTTCCATAAAGATCTAAACTAAATACCTGCATTATTCATTACCAATTTCTCTTAGATTATAATATTAATATTTAATTTGAAGAACACAGTATGGAATTTATGAATACTTACTAATTTTTCTTATGTCTTCCATGGAGATTTTTTCTTTGATTAGGATAAAGTTATTAAATTATTTTTTAATGTAACTCATTCAGTGCTTCATTAATAGATATGTCTTATGTTAATGCCAATTCAAGTGATTCATTGACGTTTTCTGAATTTTAGATTTATTTCCATCACTTTCCCATTTGCAATGGAAATAACTCAATTCTTTTAAAGTTATCTCTAAATATTCTAATAGTTTCTCCATATGTAATTCCTTGTATTCTTTTACCCTATAAATATTATTAACGTCAAAGATTAAAGTTTCTAAATTAAAATCAATTAATGCTAAGGTATAATATTATAGTGTTTTATCATTTCTATGGATTTAAACATCTATCAATTAATGTTACGAATGTATTTTGGCTACCCCAACTTATTACTAAAATTATATGAAATTACTTTAATTTATATAGTGCCGATAATTTTTAATCTATAATATTTTTAAAAATTTTATCCATTAACCGGATGTTTTTAATCAATTCTTATTGTTTTTGTTTACCAGTATCAACTTAGACTATTCTTAGATGCTGAAAATGGATAGTAAATCCCTAAATTAGAAATTTTAATATATATATATATATATATATATATATATATGAAAAATACCAAACAATTACACTTTTCTTTGCCAAGTTTTAAAATTTTAGCCCATTTTTGTGGTTTTGAACTTTGAGGGTGTGATTTATAATTTTTAAAATTTTGAAAGAGTTTTTAAAAAAAATTACTTTTAAGTTTGGTAGTTGTAAATTCTATGTTTCATGTGTTGGTGGTAATTTTTTAAATGTTAGTATATTTCTTGTAACTCTAAAATTTTGAGGGTGTCTTTTGTAATTATTAAAACTATGGATTAATTTTGAAAAAAATTAAATTTCAGCGGTCTACCAATCGATGAATTTGATGTGTGCTAGTTAAAAATTTTGAAAATTTAGAGTTTTTTTTACGATTTTTAAATTTTGAAGGAGTTTTTTAAAAATTTTAAGGTTAATTTTGGCAAATTTTAATTTTTTAGGTGTCTAAGGGTAATATCTTGAATTCATCTTATTTTATTTACAAATTTTAGAATTTTAGGGTGGCTTTTTTTAATTTGAACTTTTAAAGGCATTTCTATAATTTTTGAGATATTGAGGGTGTTAATTAAAAATTTTAAATTTAAATGTTAAAAATTTTAGGTGTATCATGGTAATCTCTTGAATTCATCTGTGTTGTTTGTAAGTTTTAAATTTTTAGAATTTTAATGTGCTTGTTTGTAATTTAAACTTTTGAGGGTGTTTCTATAATTTTTGAGACATTGATGTGTTAACTGTAAATTTTAAATTCTTTGCAAACTGATGTTAATTTTTTAATTTTATGTTTTTTATTTTAAGTTTTGAGACATTTGGATGAGTTTCACAATTTTGAACTTTTCAGGGTCTTTTCTGTAATTTTAAAACTTTTTATGGTTTTTTTGCAATACTTTATGTATTATAATATGTTATCTACTTGTAATTTGAATTTTAAAACTTTTTATGGTTTTTTTGCAATACTTTATGTATTATAATATGTTATCTACTTGTAATTTCTTTATCTTAACAAACTAATATCATTTTTATGTTTTATATATTTTATTAATATTAGTTTTTTTAAATTTTTAAGCTAAACATGGTTCACATAGGATTATGATAAGATATGACTATGATTAGGATAGATTAAGATATAAATAAAATATTCAAAATAGTGAAGGGTAATATTGACCATTGAAAATTAGGATTTGATTATAGATAGATTATAGATAAGATAGTTCAAACTATAAAGGGGTATATTTGTCTAAAAAAAATTTTCCGAACTCGTGCTTTTAAAGGGAGTATTATTACACTGATTTGTGTAGGTACTTCAAACTGCCAACAGTACGTCTGCTTTCTCTTGCATAGACATCCATTGACTTTCAGTTCGTTATTCTCTCTAAAAATAGATTAATTATAACTCAAGATAGCATAACATGAGCATTAATTTACTTAATCATATTTGTTAGAGAATAAGCCTCAAGAGGATGATCACGTGATCCCAGTCGGAAAAGGGAGTGCCTATGGGAGCTTCCAATTATTAGCCTACTCTCACGCCTTAATTAGAGGCTGTGACGAGGCAATAACTCAAGTTTTGACGCTCCGCTGTTGCACCCTGTATCGTGACCAACCATGTTAGCACGTGACCTGACATCATTACCCGACGCTTTCTTTGGGAAACATCATCATCATTAGTGTTTGTAAATTTATGTCCAAGTCAGGAGTTACGACTAAGTAACATCATTTTATCTTTGACAAAGTAAGTTAAATAATATAAATGGCTTATTGATCAAATGGAAATGAAAAATTTCCCAAGGACCTAAAATATGGGATCAATAAGGGGGACATGTGAGATATCCCCTCCTATTGTATAATGAGTTGGTCATTATTAATGTTGGTCAACTCATTATACAATAGGAGGGGGATACCTTACTTGTCCCACTTGTTGGTTTCATATTTTGGGTCCCTGTAGCAAAGCTTAATGGAAACAGAGCAGTGACATGTACGAAGTCTAAGGGTCCGTTTGGTTGGTTTCTTAAAAGAAGAAATTTTTACTGTAGACCTAATCCCAGATTTAATACCTAAAACCGACCTACTTTAAATTTATTTATGAGAATCGACCCACTTTGAGTTAATTACGATACTAATTAGTCGGGGTTGCCAACCCCAACTAATTAGTAGCCTAATTACAAGCGGGATCAGAGAGCAGGGAAGGTTTGCGGTTGCTAATTAGGCTACTAATTAGTCGGGGTTGGCAAGCCCTACTAATTAGTACCACAATTAACTCAAAGTAGGTCGATTCTTATAAATAACTTTAAAGTGGGTCGATTTTAGGGATTAAATATGAGAATGGTTCTACAGTAAAAAATTATTCTTCCCTAAAAACCAAGAAAAGAAAATTGGTACCCGGAAACTATTAAAATATTATTTTTATTCATTTCCATCTTTAAAAATCACACACAACATCTAATAAAATATTATTTTCATCTAACAACTCATCTCATCTCATCTCCTTTCTTACTTTTAAAAGTAAACCAAACACAATAAATTGGTCACATCATCCAACTCACATTATCTCATCTTTAAAAATCACCCACGTCATCCAATAATATGGTGACAACTCATCTCATCTCATTAACATTTCATTTTTATTCATTTCCTAGGGGGCTGTTTGGTTCGTTTCCTAAAAACCAAGAAAAGGAAAGAAAAGCATGGAAATCAATAAAATTTGGTTTCCATCATTTTCCACCCTTAGAAATCTCCCACATCAACCAATAATATGGTGACAACTCATCTTATTTCTTATTTTTAAAAATAAACTAAACACAAGAAATGTGTCACATCAATCAACTCATCCAACTCATCTCATCTCATCTACTACCATCTTTAAAAACCACTCACATCATCCAATAATATGGTGACAACTCATCCTATCTCATTAACATTTCATTTCCACCAATTTCCTCCAAAAAAGCTAGGAAATCGATTTCCTTAAGTGTGGGTCACATCATCCAATAAGATAATGACAACTCATCTCATCTCATCTATTTTCTTAGTTTTAAAAATGAACCAAACACAAGAAAAGAACCAAAACAAGGAAAATATTTTCCTTATAAGTTTTTTCCTTACTTTTTTAGCCAACCAAACATAAGAAAAGAACATCAAAATAAGTTTTCTTTAAAAATCACTCACATCATCCAATAATATTGTGACAACTCATCTCAACTTATCTCTTTTTTACTTCTAAGAAGTGAACCAAACACAAGAAAACATCCAATTATGGGAAATATGTTTCCTTTTCTTTACTTTCCATGTTTTTTTAGCGAACCAAACAACCCCTAAAAAAAAGAAAATTGATTTCCTTAAGCATGCGTCACATCATCCAATAATATAATGACAAGTCATCTCATCTCATCTATTTTTTTTAGTTTTAAGAATGAACCAAACACAAGAAAAGAACCTAAACAAGGAAATAAGTTTCTTATAATTCATTTTCTTATTTTTTTAGCCAACCAAACAATCTCAAAACATTTTTTATAATTTCTTTCATTAGAAATCACTTGCATCATCTAATAATACGGTGACAACTCATCTCAGCTTAATCACTTTTTTACTTTTAAGAAGTGAATTAAACATAAAAAATCAACCTATTATAGGAAATAAGTTTCTTATCTTTAATTTCCATGTTTTTTTTCCCAACCGAAACGGACCCTAAGATGAGGTGCACACAAAAGAAAAATACCAATTTTTAGGAAAAAGATGGAAAAAGTGAGCTTAGAATTTGTTGCCATTGCAGTGGTAACTTTCATGGTCACTCTGTCGAGATTCAAAAAGGAAGTAATGAGAACAGTACCGCACCGAATCGTGGACGAGTGAGGACACAGTGAGAGTGTCCACGCGGCGCTGCAGGCAGCAAACCGACAAACTCTTTGATAAAAACCTGAACGTGATTCCTGCACCTTTTTCTTCTTCCAACAATTAAAAAAAGAAAAAAGAAAAAGAAAAAGAAATTATCCAATCAAAGCTTCTACTGCTTAAAATGCCAAAAAGTTCCGCAGGAACATCTGAACACAGAATATGAAACAATAAATACGGTCAAAGAGAACTTCAAGCCCTTGATTGGGCCTAAGCTTTATTGTATTCCTAAATTGTTTCAAAAACAATGGGCGCCATTGCTCTGCTCTCTGGGCTCTGCATCTCTTTGCTATTTTTGGGGTCTCATGGTGTTCGTGTTCCTGCTCCTGTTAACGATATTGACGGTATATTCTATTGTCGCCCCTTCAAATTTTAATTTTTTTAATTATTATTTTTTGCATTTTTAGTGGGCTTATGGCATTTCTTTGAACTACTGAAAGAAAAACAATTTTCTTATTTTTATTTTTACGTTTTTCCATTTTTTTTTCTTAGTGCAGCTCAAGCACTGGTTACATTTGTCATACAGAAATCTGCCCCTGTTTTGTTTGATTTCCCCTTTTCCTTTTCGCAAAAGTTGAGTGTCTTCTCTGTTTTAGTTTTGTTTTTCTTACCAAATTCCTCACTGATTAAAATATTTATAAGATTTGATCTTTAGTACAAAGATGGCTTCGTTTAAATTCCTGTAGAATCTTAATATAGGTATAATTCTTTAGTAGGAAGGTTAATTTACTTATGATAGTTAAACTAAAATATGAAGTTAGTGTTTGAATCTTATTAGTGGCTATAAGATGAAATCTAACAACATTTTTAATTGGGAAAAATGCTTCCAGCCCCCAAAACGAATGAAAACAAGCTTCCCACCCCCAAGACTTTTTCAACCGTGCGGGAGGACCTGTTCATGGGAGAGTGGGAGCGTGGGAGGACCTATTCGTGGGAGCGTGCGGGAGGACTCGCCCAACCCAAGAACAATAATAATAAGAAGAAGGACAAGATTGATAGTAATTACAACCATGCTCCCTGACTTTGGCTGCTCCTGCTTTGGATGCTACAAGAACTTCTGGGCTCGTTGGGATGCCTCACCCAACCGCCATGTCATTCACCTCATCCTCGATGCCTTTGAAGAGACCCTTGAATCGAAGGAGGCCAACAACAAGTAGAAGAGGGGGTTGAAGAGTAAAAAGATTTATTTTTGATGAGGTTTTGGCGAAAGAGATGAGCGCCCATGAGGAGAAAGTAAGAGATGAGCGCCCATGAGGAGAAAGTTGATGATGATGGACATGATGATGGGTGCGGGCATGTTACTAATTACCAACGCTAAAACTATTACCACCAAAAAACTTTAAAATAACCCAAATAAAAATATACCAGTTGCTTGTTAAAATTACTCCCTTATTAGAATGTCCTACATTGGTTGTTAAGGTTATATGTTGGTTGTTAATGTTACGCGTTTGTTGTTAAGGTTATGTATTGGTTGTTAAGGTTATACAGGTTGCTTGTTAAGGTTACGGGTTGGTTGTTAAGACTACGCGTTGGTTGTTAAGGTTACGGGTTACTTGTTAAGGTTACGGATTGGTGTTAACGTTATACGGGTTGATTGTTACGGTTACGAGTTTTTGCTTGTTTAATAACCAACTCGTAACCTTAACAACCAACCCGTAATCTTAACATCCAACCCGTAATCTTAACAACAAACGCGTAACCTTAACAACAAATGTGTAACTTTAACAAGCAACCCGTAAGCTTAACAAACAACATGTATAACCTTAACAACCAACCCGTAACATTAACAACAAACATGTAACCTTCATATTAACGGATCTTGAGGATCTCTCTGACCGATTATTAGGCTCTGAAAAACACGCTAATTGAAGAAAAATGTAAACTTGGACCTAACAAACAAGGTGAAATCTCGACATCACAATAACAACAGAACAAGGACCAGTGAAGCAAATAAAATGCACCAAAACATCAAATCCAAGCTCGACGGGGGGAAAACGCTTTGATTCTGACAGAGAGATCCTGAGTGTTCTGTATATTTAGAGTAACTTTTAGACGATATAGGAAGTCTAGATGCACTATTTTTATGCATGTTGGCCCGCCCATCCCTGTTAACGTCTTTAATAGGTAACCAAAATAAATTTATATATTTTTCAAGAACACTCGCTTTTTTGTAATAACTCTTAGTATGGCAACATCTTTTAATTAATATGCATGGCACTATTCACAACATTTCTTTAGGTCCAAGTTTACATTTTTCTTCAATTAGCGTGTTTTTCAGAGCCTAACAATCCGACAGAGAGATCCTCAAGATCCGTTAATATGAAGGTTACGTGTTTGTTGTTAATGTTACGGGTTGGTTGTTAAGGTTATACGTGTTGCTTGTTAAGGTTACGAGTTGCTTGTTAAGGTTACGCATTTGTTGTTAATGTTACTGGTTGGTTGTTAAGGTTACGGGTTGGTTGTTAAGATTACGGGTTGGTTGTTAATGTTATATGGTTTGCTTGTTAAGGTTACGAGTTGATTGTTAAACAAGCAACCCGTAACCTTAACAATCAACCCGTATAATGTTAACACCAATCCGTAACCTTAACAAGTAACCCGTAACCTTAACAACCAACGCGTAGTCTTAACAACCAACCCGTAACCTTAACAAGCAACCTGTATAACCTTAACAACCAATACGTAACCTTAACAACAAACGCGTAACATTAACAACCAACATATAACCTTAACAACCAATGTAGGACATTCTAATGAGGGAGTAATTTTAACAAGCAACCGGTATATTTTTATTTGGGTTATTTTAAAGTTTTTTGATGGTAATAGTTTTAGCGTTGGTAATTAGTAACATGCCCGCACCCATCATCATGTCCATCATCATCAGCTTTCTCCTCATGGGCGCTCATCTCTTTCGCCAAAACCTCATCAAAATCAATCTTTTTACTCTTCAACCCCCTCTTCTACTTGCTGTTGGCCTCCTTCGATTCAAGGGTCTCTTCAAAGGCATCGAGGATGAGGTGGATGACATGGCGGTTGGGTGAGGCATCCCAACGAGCCCAGAAGCTCTTGTAGCATCCAAAGCAGGAGCAACCAAGGTCAGGGGGCATGGTTGTAATTACTATCAATCTTGTCCTTCTTCTTCTTATTATTGTTCTTGGGTTGGGCAAGTCCTCCCGCACGCTCCCACGCTCCCACGAACAGGTCCTCCCACGCTCCCACACTCCCATGAACATGTCCTCTCGCACGCTCCCACGCTCCCATGAAACCCACCGCGCAGAGAATCATGAACCAGTAAAACCTCAGTCGCTCGTTCCCGTCGGCTATGCAGCGCTCATCGTCGGAGTTTCGCTCGGCCCTCGAGCGGACGATCTCTCTGTACTCCTCGAACCGCGCCGGGTTTTCTCTGTGTTGTGGATCTTGAGGATGCTATGGATGGCCGCAGCGACGGTGGCAGAGAAGGCGAGGATGGCAGGAGGAGGGTGGCGGCGGCGGGTGGAGAGGTGGGGGAGGGAGGAGGGAGAACAGAGGGATTGCAGGGTTAGAGAGAGAGAGAGAGAATGGGTATTATAGTCTTTCCCTGTGTGAAATTCATTGGGCTTTGTGTTTTGGGGGCTCGGAGAACAAAAAATTTACTTTTGGGGGTAAAGCACCCGTTGAAAAAGTCTTGGGGGTGGGAAACTTGTTTTCATTCGTTTTGGGGGCTGGAAGCATTTTTCCCTTTTTAATTTGATACTGTAAATCCAATTAGACATTCAAAAAATTATATTTTTTGCAAAAATAATAATCACCCATTCTCGCTCTCCATAGTTTCAATGCTGGGGCTCCAATTTTACTATATTTCACCACCATTAAATGATACAAATTTTGAGAAAACCCAACGAAGAAAAACTTGTAGATCTTTTTCAAAGAGTTTCATAAATGATATTAATTCTTTCTCCGGATACTTTGGGAGGAAATAAATTTTCTGGAAAGGTTTTGCTAATTTTTCCTTTTTCCTGCCAACCTCTATATAGTCCTTGTAGCAACTGCCGTCACCAATTGAAAACACCCAGTTTATGTGAACCGTGTTAATCATTTTTTAAACTCAATAAAACATCATTTAAATATTTTTTAAATGGTATTTAAAAAAATATTTAACATTAGAAGTGGTCACCAAGTAGTTTAATGTCATCCTTCTATAGTAAGCTAGAGAAAACATCAAGTATCTCTTGTTGAGGTTGACAAATGATATTATCTTTATGCAAACATTATATTTAGTTTCTCTTGTAAAAATACCATCATTCATCACTGGTTGTTTGTGTTTAGCCCTTCTCATCTTTATGCAAACATTATATTTAGTTTTCTAGTGTAAAAATACCATCATTCATCACTGGTTGTTTGTGTTTAGCCCTTCTCCCCAACGGCAACTTTGAGCTAAGCCCCCACCCCACAAAACTCAACAAAACAGTAATCATAGGCAAACACTCCCTCCCAAACTGGACCATCCATGGCCTCGTCGAGTACATTTCTGGCGGCCCACAACCCGGCGGCATGTACTTCAATGTCACACATGGCATCCATGCCCTCCGCCTCGGCAACGAGGCCACCGTCTCCCAGAACATAACCAACCTCAAGCCTGGCTCCCTCTACGCCCTCACCTTCAGCGCCTCAAGAACTTGTGCACAGGACGAGGTGCTGAGGGTCTCGGTGCCTCCGTCGACTGGTGATCTCCCATTGCAGACTCTGTATACGAGCTTTGGAGCGGACACATATGCTTGGGGGTTTACTGCTGGTAAGAAGACAGTTGAAGTTATCTTTCATAATGTTGGCATGCAGGAGGATCCGGCTTGTGGGCCATTGTTGGATGCTGTGGCGATTAAGGAACTAAGACCCCCTATGCCCACTAGAGGTGATATTCTCAAGCACATGATTTAGTTTGATATGTAATTGACAGTTCAGTTTATCCTGCAATGTTTTATCTTTCGCTTGAGGTGTTTTTTTGATCCAATGTTGTGATGCCCCACTAATAGTCCCACATAGGAAAGCTGATAGAGTTTAACAAGGTTTAAATGATGTGTCTTGAGAGCTAAGTGCAATATTGGATAACCAATCTTGGTAGTGGATTGAGCCAAACCACATGTTGCACTTCGTGGGTCCCAAAACTTACATCGCGCCAACGGGCTCGCAGGCTCGGGACGTGACAAATGGTATAAGAGCAGTTAGCTAGCCGAAAGTATAGAGCGAAGTGCTATGCATGATTTAGTGTTATATCGCGTGAGTGCAGTTGGGGCCACCTCTAGAGTCCACATCGTCTAACGATGATACTAGGATGTGTTAATTGTCATGTCGCGGCGGATACTAGGATGTGTTAATTGTCATGTCGTGGCGGGGACCTTGAGCATTGAAGGTGGGGTGATTGTGATGCCTAACAAATAGTCCCACATCGGAAAATTGACAGAGTTTAAGAAGGTTTAAATGATGGGCCTTGAGAGGTAAGTGTAACATTGGCTAGCCAATTTTGACAATGGATTGAGCCAACCACGTGTTACACTCCGTGCGTCCCAGGACTTGCATCACACTAGTAGGCTCAAGGTCTTGGGACGTCACAAATGTGACTTAAGTCATAGTTTTTTTGCCTTCAATTTTTTTGAGAGACAATTTTGTTTATCATAATCATTTGTAGCACAGGGATCACATCATCCCTATAAATTAGTGCCCCATATTTTCACTTTCTGTTCAAGATAAGTTATAATATTTGGTTAGATGATAGTTATTCTTATTGAAAAGGTAGTTTTTGATTTGTTTTTAGTCAACAAGATAGTTTGGTTATTTGAAACATTTAAAGGGATGTTGTGCTAATGTATTTCCCTTATGTGATCTAGTTTTTATAGGTACCTTCTTATGTGTAAAAAATAAAAGTTTTTAGTGATCATTATGTTCAGTTTCAACCAATAAGAACATGGTATAAAGGATATCACACGATGCATGTATGTCCTTTTTTTTTTTTGAGAGAAAGGATGGATTACTGTTAATCATAACAGTAATCCAGCCACGTCCTCAAATAATATCGTTGAAATCAATGAAATACTATGTACTTGTTCTTGAAATTGAAAATATTATCTGATGTATTTTAACATCATTAGCATTTATTTAATGTTTAATATAAATGCATGTTCATTTTCTCAGAACATTTAACTATCAGTTAATAATTTTGATTTTCTTCTGTTCACTATTCATAGGTAACATATTGATACACTTGTTATCTGAGACTTTTAACTTGAAGTGGTTGAGATAATCTAAAGTTTAACCACAATAATGGCTATCTTATATACTTAAACATAAATCAATCTTGCAAAGTTTCAAAATTAGTATGTATATGTCAAATATCTGAAATATTTTGACATATAGTTTGTTATGTGTCAATTCTCTGTGTCGAAATAAAAGTCAACATAGATCAGCTTTGGAGTATATGTGTAAGTACCATGAATACCAGGAATGCATTCCTTAATGCTACTTACGAAACCTGTTAAGCAGGTTATTCTATTTAATATCTCACAGTTTGATGGTAAAACAAACGAAAAACTTTAGAAACATATTGGGTAATTCCACACTATATTAACTGCATTTTTCAACTCCTTATAAAAATATCTATTACTACTACATCAACCGCACTGTAACTCCGAAGCTGTTATAATTCTTTTTGTGTGTGATAAGTTTCATCTTATATATTATGCTTAGAGCAATAAAGGAAGAATTGAAAAGCGCCTCTCATTTTCGTTCGTGTAAGACAAATATTATAAGTCATTTTTCTTGAAGCAGATATATTATCAGCCATAAGTCTATGATGTTCATAAGAAATAAACCGTATACACAAATCAGAAAGAAGAAGTGACATAATAAAGAAAGAAACTTCGGTGCAATCAAATAAATATGAAACCAGCACATACAAACCAGAAAAATCAAATCAATCCGTGCAAGCACTGGCATAACACTTCTATACTTAAACATAAATCAATCCTGCAAAGTTTCAAGATTAGCATGTATATCTCAAATATTCACTTTCATCATGTCGTTCCTTTTGCAGACAACCTAATAAAGAACGGAGGCTTCGAAGAGGGCCCCCACGTCTTCAAGAACTCCACAGCCGGTATCCTCCTCCCTCCCAAGCAACAAGACTCAATGTCTGCGCTGCCTGGTTGGATCATCGAGTCCCTTAAAGCCGTCAGATTCGTTGACAAGGACCATTTCTCCATCCCGTTCGGCCAGTACGCGGTCGAGCTCGTTGCTGGCAGAGAGAGCGCCATCGCCCAAGTTATCCGAACAGTCCCAAACAAACCTTACCTCCTCACGTTCATCATAGGAGATGCAAAGAATGGATGCCATGGGGATATGATGGTTGAGGCTTTTGCTAGCAATGCAACTGCTAAAGTTCCTTTCCAGTCTAAAGGGAAGGGCGAGTTCAAAGATGCTAGCCTGAAGTTTAAGGCAATTGGAGATAGGACAAGGGTTACTTTCTTTAGTTCATACTACCATATGACTGGTGATTATGGGTCTCTTTGTGGTCCTGTGTTGGATCAGGTTAAACTTCGTCCTCTGTCATCTTAGTTTGTGTTTGTTGTGGTCTGAGAGTTCGTTTGGTTGGTCATGGAGTGGAATTGGATGTTTAGAAAGCTGTTCTTAGTGTCTGGAGAGTGTACTACTGTCTTTCAGTGAAACTACTTCTTTCTCTGAATTGAATGATGATTGTTGAATTCAGTCATCTTTGCTTAAATCTCTCCTTGTATGATGCATCCTTGTCGGGTTTCTGATTTTTCGTTTGTTTCTTTTGGGTGCGTTTTATTTTTAAAGTTAATGGAGTTTGGTGCATTCGTAGGCTCGTTGGTGACTGAAACATATTTGGATCGCTACAATCTTAGATCATTAACATGTCTAAATCATAAATGGCAGCAATTTGAATGTGTTATATACCAGGGATATACAAGTGAAGTGGGGGGACACAATGCATGTACATAGGATAAGTTTGCTCATCATCTACACTGTTATTGAGAGATCTTTTTGACTTCTATGTTGGTAATACATGTTAGTTATACATGCACATAGGATAAGATACTTTGGTTCCACATTTGCAGTTAAAATTTGTTGTGCGTTAATGTGTTAATATCGGTGTATCCGTGGATGTGCAATATAGATCCACAGTAATGTGGAACAACTTTATCTCTGTTGTAAACATGCCTTTGAAGATATAAGCATTCCTTATTTTATCTTTTAATCGACTACTTATTTAGCTCTCAAATCTTTTATTTCTATTTCAAATTCAATGTCTTAGTTTTCGCTATTGCTCCTCTTCATTCTTGCTTACCGTTCTATTGAATAATCAGAATGGTTTAGGATGGCTTATTATTGAAAATCAACCATGAGTTCTCACCATTTCCACTAAATATCATCATTTGTAAAATACAGATAACTACTACAGCCCTTTATATTTTCACAAAACTACCACATTGGTTAATTTATAGGTTTTAAAAAGGACTTTTACCTTTCTTATGTCATTTATCCAACATTCAATTTGTTTTCACTAAATTATCATATCCCTTTTTCTTTTTTCCATTCTCTTCAATTTCTCTTACCGAATCAGGATTTGTTTTCATGCACCTGTTATGTGGGTGATAGGATGTACATGGATATTGCACAAAACTACGATGTTGCTCTTTTTCGGTTTGCTCTATATACAGCCTCCATGCCTCAGTTCTGCAGTTTATTTGACAAATTGACTCTTGTATCCTCATATTTTTTGCTTTCTTTCTTCCAGTATTTTTTTTAATCAAACAGTATAGATGTTGGCGATAGGTTTGTGGAGAACATGTTTCTTTATCAAAAATCAGATTTTCAAATATAAAGAGTCCAGGCAATCTCAAACAGTCAAACTGTCACAGTATTTTTTTCTCAACAAAAAGATATGTTTGGCAATAATAACATAATATGTTCGGTTACGTACATTCAAAACTATTTCCATATCTAATGGACACATAACATCCAACTGAGACATGCTCTGTTGATGAAAGAGGAGACACTAACTATTTGATTATACAAAATTACAGACAAAAACATCTTTGCATTTGACATGAGCAAAGTATCCCTTCCAACATTTAAAAGCTCCTTGCACTTATCTCACATAACAGACACCACTTGAAATTGGGGAATATGAGCTACATCATGAGTTCAGTCCCATAAAAATCTACGACTGGGATTATTTAACCTCAAGAAGCATCTCCACGACTTTTTTCATCTTAGGCCTTTTTGCCGGAGTGATATCAGTGCAGAGCATGGCGATCTTCAATACAGCTAGCATTTGCTTCCTCCAAGAAAATGAGACAGTGCTCAGCCTTGTATCCATTATCTGCTCAGGAGTTTCGCCTCTCTTTGATGCACTATGTACCCACTTCACTAGATCAATCCCTTCACCAAATTGCTCATCAACAGGTAATCTGCTAGTTAAGAGCTCTAACAGTACAACTCCATAGCTATAAACATTTCCTGGAGCAGTCACTTGCATTGTGTATGCGTACTCTGATAATGAAACAATACACATAAACACCATAATGTTGTATCAGCTATTATCCTAAATAGAGTTATAAAAGAATGATAGGGTAAATGGCATTTACTCTTCCAAAATTGAAACCTTTTCCTCTACACGTTTCTCCTCAAGACTAATTGGCAAATAGAAGTAACCAATGTTGTTAATGGGAGACTTGTCCCCCATTTGGCAAAGGTTCAAGGAAGGGGAACGGAGGAGAAAGGTTAATATAGTTAGCTCACTTGTTAACCTACAGGGTTATGTTAACATGCTAAGTAAGATTTATTTTAATCCTTGTATCACTTTTTAGTGTATGGGAATAGTGGGGACTATGACTAGTTTCTTTATAAATAAAGGGGTTACCATGGTTAACCTGCTTAAATAGGAGTTTAACAAAACTAGTCAGGGTTAACTCATTTCAACCCCTCCCTGTAAAAAGGTTGTCTTAATCCTTTGTATTTTTTGTGTTTGGCAAACTATGAAGGGTTAACTCACTTTATTTCTGGTGTAGAATTTTTGTGTTTGAAAAACTGAGGGGCTAACACTCCTTAACCCCTCACTTAACTCTTTGTCAAATGACAAAAAAAATCCTTTTCATATTAGCATGCACATTTTAAAGTGCATGTTTGGAAACCTATTTATTTTAACTTAAAAGTGGGGTTTTACTTAGCTTCCAAAATCATGTTTGGTGAAGTTTACTTATTTACTTATTTTGTGACTTATAAGTTGCCAAAAAATAAGTATTAGCCAAACATGCCCAAAATATGACAAATTTTTAATAAAGATAAAAGAGGAAAGTCTCCATATATAGTTCGAATACTATTAAAATTCTAGCAAAGAGGTCAATATGAAAATAGAAACAAGTAACTTGTAATGAACAAGAAAATGAGAGAGAAGAAATGATGCATTACGAAATGAAGCGTTACGATGTGAAGTGTCACAAAAAAAGGGAGATATGAAGCGTCACGAAGAAAAGAGAAATGCCGCGTTATGAAGTAAAGAGAAAGGAAGCGTTACGGAAAAAAAAGACTTTTAGGTTACTTTGGATCTATCAATGCCACAGATACCAAAAAGAGAAATGAAGCGTTACTAAAAGGAGAAATATAATGCTTAATTACGTCCACAATCGTATCACGTTCTTAGCATGCGACCGCTTTAAAAGGGTAGATTAACAAAAAGTCTTAGGGGAATAAATGTGCCTGATAGAAACATTGGAGGAGGAAAAAAACTTTGGGGGATATGTCCTATTGCTAGAAACCTAAGGGCTTGTTTGGATTGAGGGGAATAAGGGTGAAGGGAAGTTAGGGGAACCATTCACCTCCATTCACCTTGTTTGGGAACATTTAGGAGGTGAAGTTATTCACCTTAGTTCCCCTTGGTTCACCCCCTAATAGTATAAAATTTGTTACCCCCAAATTGGGGTGTAACCAAGGGGAAGGGAACTCCCTTCCCTTCCCTTCCCTTCCATTCTCTCACCTAGTTTCCCTTAACTTCCCTTCACCCCCTACAAATCCAAACAGGCTCTAAGGAATAAATGAAATTTACCCAAACACATAATGTAAAGAATATTTACCAGGAGGAATATAACCAAATGAGCCAGCCACTGCACTGATGCTTGCAGTACCTTTCGACGGGTCCAGGAGCTTGGATATCTCAATCTCCCCAATAAGCGCATTGAACTGAGAATCAAGAAATATGTTACTTGATGAAATATCCAAATGAATGGTAGCAACCTGATGAAGAAAAGCCAATCCTTCAGCAACACCAATAGCAATACTTAGCCTCATAGGCCAGTCTGGCTTGTACTCATCTTGAGGAGTTTCATGAAGATATTGAGCAAGTGTCCCATTAGGCATGTGATTGTGAAGCAATAATGCTACATCTTCATAAATCACATAACCAATAGGCCTCATTAGATTAGCATGAGAGAGCTTTCCCAGCCTCTCAAGCTCCCTTGTCATCTTGTTTTGATAGTGAACTACTGTTTTATCCACAGATTTGAGCTGTTTCACATAGAGAACAAGACCTGATGGCATGATTGCTTTATATACAGTGCTAAATGTTCCATTGCTCAGCTTATTTGAATCTTTATATGTCGCCTTGACAACACTATCAAAATCTACGGCTTGCTTCATGCTATCAGCAAAGACATTTCCAGCTACTATCACAGGATTAGGAATAGAAGCAGAATCTCCTGTTGCCTTGGCAGCTTTTGCACTCAATTCTTGCTTCTCTCTTAACATGAAGAGAATCACAATAACTGATACTGTAGTGAAAACAGTTAAACCAGAGCCAACAACAACTAAGACTATCTTGTAAGAAACTTTGTGATTATCAACCTCGTATTCATTTTCCAGATACCCGCAAGAAGAATTTAGTGGATTACCACAGAGATCTCTATTGCCAGAAAAACTTGATGAAGGGCTATTCTGAAATGGACCAAAGATTGGAATTTGGCCAGTTAGCTCATTGTTTGAGAAGTTAACCTCTATTAAGCTCAACATGCCCTTGAGCTCCATTGGAATAGTTCCTGAAAGCTTATTGTTTGATACGTCCAGGCTGACCAATTTATCGAGCTTACCCAATTCTTCAGGCAATGGCCCATATAACTGATTGAAGCTGAGATTCAAAGCAATTTGCAAATTCTTGATTCTGCCTATCTCAGAAGGTATAGTTCCAGATAATAAGTTGCTTCCCAATTGCAGTTCAAGTAATCTAACACAGTTGCCAATCTCATGAGGTATTTCACCAGTAATTGCATTGCGATCTAAGTGCAAAAATTGAAGTCTCGATGTATCACATAGGTTTATAGGCAAACTTCCAATTAATTTGTTATTGCTCATATCGAGCTTACTTAAATTCCTACACTTGAGTAGAGATTTAGGGATGTCTCCAGTAAGACTATTGTTCGATAAAATCAGCTCCTGAAGGTTTTTGAGATCACCAAACTCCAAGGGGACGACACCCGCTAACAAATTAGAAGCCAAATTCAACAGAGTAAGATTTGAGCATTTTGCAAATTCCTTTGGAATCTCTCCAGAGAGAAGATTATCATTAGCCTCAAAGTATGTCAAACTACTCGCGTTGCCAATCGACAAAGGAATGCGCCCAACGAGCCTATTATTTCCAATTCGAACACTCGACAACCATTTGCAGTTCCCTATTGATTCAGGAATTCTCCCATTCAATCCATTTACAGTCAGCACTAAAATTTCCAGCTCCCCAGAACTGAAAATGCTTTCAGGGATCACCCCATTTAGATTGTTAGAGTGCAGGTTCAGCACTCGTAGCTTTGAAAACAGGCCCAAATTCTTAGGAATACCACCACTGAGTCTATTCTCATAAGCTGAAAACAACCTCAACTCAGAGAAATTCCCAATCCAATCAGGGATATACCCACCCAAACTATTCCCAGAAATCTGCAGCTCTTCTAACTTCTCAAGGCTCTTGAGTGAATTGGGTATTTGCCCAGTAAGCAAATTATTCGAAAGGTTCAAAGATTTTAGGCTCACAATGCTACCAAGAGACGAAGGGATCGAGCTCTCAAACTTGTTCATGGACAAATCCAAGTACACAAGCTCAACCAAGTCCCCAAATGAAGAAGGAATAGACCCATGAAACGAATTGGAAGAAAGATCCAAACTTTGCAATGAAGTGAGCTTAGAGATCAGAGAGATGTTACCTCTGAGCCCCAGCCTTGAGAGCTCAAGCTTTTCAACTAACTGGGTTGATTGGTTGCAAGTGACACCTCGCCATGAGCAGTAGTTTGAGTTGGGGGAGCTCCATTCAGGGACTGAGAGCTCTTCCTTTAAAGCTGCCATTGTGGGTTCATCAGGGAGCTCGGCAGAGGCTTGAGCAATGAAGAAGATGATGAAAGCAATGAGAAGAGAAGTAGCCATTAACAAAACCCAGTAGTTTTCAGCTCTCAGAAAACTTTCCCTTTTATTTCTGAGCAAATAAAGAGCATCCCACTTTCCCTTTACACAAAATGGAATGGAATAAGGAACAGAGATCGACTCACACAATTCTTGCTTCAACTATTAATAGTGCTATTGCAACTGGCGGTTTCATTCTTTGTTCCCCTATAAATTACTAAAAACTACCATTAGATTCTTTGAGGAGAGGAATTGAGGGGGTTAGAATAACTTTTAGAATGAGCAGCTAGTGAAGAGTGATGTCCACTGTTTTCATTCAGTGTTGGTTCAAGTCAGCATCTTCTCTCTTTTCCGCACAAGGATTTGTTTCAAGATTATACAGCAAAAGTGACATGGAATAATTATGTTGTCCCGCGATGTACATAGTGAAATAAGTTGGTAAACGAGAAGTGCCAGAGGCCATGAAGATTAAATTCTATAATTTTATATTCTAATATGTTTTTGCAAGTTGAATATTTTTTTAAGGGAAAATTGCTTCCAGCCCCCAAAACAACACAGAACGTGCTCTGCCCCCCCAAGACCTTTTCCGGCTTTTCAACGTGCCTTTTACCCCCCAAACCGCACCAGATTTTCTTCCAGCCCGACCCGGACAGGCCCCGCAGCCGCCGGCTCCGCGCGCACCGCCCCCCCGCCTCCCCGCTCCCGCGCGTGGCACCCCCAGGTTTGCCATCCAGCTGCCCAGCGGGTCAGCAGTTCTCGCTCGGACGCGCGGTCACGCCTCGTCCCCCTACGCTCGCGCGGTCGGCTGTAGCGCCCCTCTCGCCCGCCGCCCGCTGCCGCGTGACGTCCCCCTTTGACTTCTCCCTCCTTGCATTCCCGAGTGCTGCTTGACGCCTACGCCTCAAGTATGCTTTCTCTGCGCCGGGCCCAGGTCCGACGGCCTCCCGTCCGCGCCCCCGCCCCGTCGCGCGATCGGATCGCCCACGAGGTTCCCCACCGTAACTGTGCCGCGGCCCCGCGCGCGAGCCGAAATCGACCGCCTAGCGCGATGTAGAGCAGGCCCGTGCGAGCACTGATCTTGACGCTCTCGGCGTCCTTGCCCAAAACGAATCCCCAATGGCCGGGAGCCTCTTAAATTGCGAACGGCTCGAGAATGCACAAATACCCTTCCGCAAGCATGTGTTCTGTCGCCTCGAGAGACGCTACGACGGAACCTCATCGTTTTCGACTAGTAGCGTGCATTAATGGTGATATGAATAAAAAAGACTTTTTTGGGGGGGGGAAATTCCCATTTCCCGTCCAAATTATCATCAGATATTATACCAGCTATATCCCCCTTCAAGCTAAGTCTGTTCCTTCACTTAATTATCCCTCAATAAAAGCTCTTCGATTCTTCAACGCACTCCCTGTAATAAAATGGCGGATGGACTCTTGCTTATGCGTGGTAACGAAGCAAAAAGCAACAAAGCGTGGTGACGGTGTATTCGCGTTATCAAAGAGAATACAGAATATAGGTCGCTGTGAATATCGAGGTGGCGGGAAAGGCCTTAAAATACCAATGCAATCTCTTTTCATGAAGTTCATATGCGATAAGGGGAAAGCAATTAGCATTTCAATTGAGCAATGACGACGACTATAAATTTTGATGTTCGAGTATTATCGGCGTAATGGCATTTACGACGGCGAATTTTGTATGGCGCACCACCCTCCGCTGGCGGAATCCTCACTTCGCAGAAACAGGCAGACTACGCCGGAAACTGGCGTAGGAATTACAGGCTCCAGATTTCGCTTTTGAGTTCACTGAATAGGTTTTGCCATTAGTTGTTACCTCATCATTGTTGCTTTGGGTAATGTGTTGGCTGTCAAAGGTTATGTTAAAGCACTGGTTGTTAAGTTATTTGTTGCTGTTAGTATATCTTAGTTGGTTGCAAGTTATGGTGTTTGATGTTAGTAATATTGCTTTGTTTGTTTAAGGTCACGAGTCTGCCCTTAACGTATAAGGGTTAGTTTGTTAAGGATTGTGTTAGTTGTTAGCGTTTATCGAGTTCGTTGTTAGGTTATCATGTCGTTGCTAAAGGCTATGTATTTTGATTTATACTTCAGGACAATACCGGACAGAAAATTCGACGGTGCGGCAGATACCCCGTTCCCCAACCTGTAAAGGGGGGGGGGGGGGGTGAATGAGCGTATTCCTAATGAGCAACCCCACGGCGGCGACTCCGCATCATGCTGCTGGTATAGACGATGCTTAATCACCAACAAAGATCCCAACTGAGTGGCAGCACTCCATACGTGAACGTTGGTCAGAAATTTGATAGTGCTAGCTGAAGTTAGATTAGCAACTTCAATACTATTCAAATTGCTAAACGGTTCGACGTATGAATTTTTACGCACAATGAAAAAGACGCATAAGAGTCTATTGGCCGATTCAAAACACACACATGGTTGGCCTTGGATGTTGTTTGCTTCCGCCGCTCAGAAATTCGTCTATCATGTCGATAAAGAATTTCGAGTGCATACCCACCCTGCGGTCACATGGAGGCAATGCTGGCACTCGGGCATCAGGAAGTCATTGGCTAGCCAAATACAAGCTGTTTTGCAAGTTAGGCGCAGATCTTTTCGTCGCGGTCGATTATCAAGAACGACATCGCTGCTCTAATTTTGCATCAAGATTAAGCTACAAGTAAAGCGTGGTGGAGCAAGGAAGACAGCTGCAACATGGAGGACTGTTGGTGACGATGATGAGGCTTACGATTCACTGAGATCGGTCCTGTATCTTTTTTATTCTTCTGAATATCACTTCTGTACCTTTTGGTTGGGCTACTATACGATAGTAGTTTTAAAGTTGGCGCTTCGCAGCGTTAAGTGTCAGTTTGGTTGCTAACTATACGTATTAGTTGTTAAAGTTAATTGGTTGCAGTCCGTTAATATATAACGTGTTTGGATCGTGAAAGTTTGAAGATCTATTTGTTAATGGTTATGAATCTTCGCTAATGTACTGCTTTGTTGTTATATTCTGCAGTATGAACCATGGTGGCATGCACTAACTCCAGGGAGTCGTGTGTGTTATTGATGCTGATGACGGGAGTTGTAAGGCGACTGTTCATTAGTTATAATCCTGGTATTGAACGGGTTCATTGCTGGTGTAGGCCTGCTATTGTTTTTGGATGGAACATTTATTAAAGATGCCCGTACAGAGGATACTACTTAGGTAACTGGGTACATGACGCGGCAACCAAGGGAATATTTCCCTAGCTATTGCGTATGCGACCAATGAGAATGAGGTATAACTGGAATGGTTCTTACAAGGATTATGGACGTTACTGTTATGATAGGGAAAATATCTTACAATCCGCAGAACAATCTGACTGGTATGGATTTGTCAGACGCCGGACCAAGGGTACAAGGGCGCAGCAGTCGAGGAATTCTTTCCAGAGCGTGCATTCCATTCAAGGTGTGTTCTGGCATCCTAGTCGATAATTTCAAAAAAAAGATGAAGGATTTTGGGCAAGCATAGGCAAATATCGGCGACTACGTTGGGCGACTGTTACAGATCTGCGGCTTTAAGGTTCAGCAATATCTGAATGGGCAGATAATGACATTGAAAGAATTGGCAGCTGATCGATACAGGGCTTATGTCACTGTAATGGAATACTCCGCCGGAGAGATGGGCAAACGCGCATGTTCCTGGTAATAAGGTAAGATAAGCTTTTGGTCCCGACGTTATTGTTGTTACAGCACTGTATAGTTTGTTTAAGGTATGAGTTATCTCATTTTCCTGTTTAAGGTTCAGATTTTTATTGTTATGGGTTAGAGTTTGTCTGGCTAGGTTTTGGGCTGTTAAGTTTAGGTATATTTGTTGTTAAGGTTAGGCTTTAATGTTTAGTTAAGAATTATTGTTATTGTTAGTGCTTTGTTTGTTAAGGTATGGCCATGTTACTTCAAACGTTGGCTGAGTCCTCAACAGCTGGATTAAGAAAGGCACGATTGTTGCGAATCTTACCTTTGGTTGAGAGCGCATTAACGGAAGGCAAAAATGGAGCGGCATGCATGAAAAGAGGCTATTGGGTGCAGAAATGGTCGTGGAGTACCTATGCCGGAGAGCGAGTTGGTGTGGCTGAGTGATAACATTCAGAGTGGTGCTGCTTGGCGATTAAACATTCGACGGAAGATATTGTCGGAGTCGAGTTCGCAATAAAACTTGCCAGCGTAGATTATGAAGAATTCGGACTTGTTCTTTGCAGGTCCTGGGAATCATCGCCGGCATTCCATGCAAACATGCCGTGCGCTGGGCAATTAATGGATGGGACGAGAAATTTAATCAATTATTGCGATTGTAATGATGTTGTTGGCGTCAAGCAGCTATGGCAACGCGATGCATGACTATCCACATCCCAGATTACGAGAACGCTTTGGTACCGCCAGAAGAGGAGTGTTTGAGCCTCCTCTCACCCAAAAACAGACGTGGCATGACGCATGCATAGACGAATAATACACACAGGTCGTGAACACACGCGACCGGTTAAGTGCTCTCGATGCAACAGTGGAGGTCACAAATCGTGCAAGCTGTAACGAGCCTATATAGTTTTAGCGTTGTATTGTCCATGTATATGGATTTGTTGTCCCTGTAATATCACTAGCAACTGAAGAGGTCATAGCTTGGTTGTTAAGCGTGATAACATGTTGTCAAAGTTTATCAGCACTTTTTAATGTTGAGCGCTTTTTGACTTGGATAGTTAAGGTTATTACTTGGTTGTCAAGTTTATCACTTAATGTTGAAGTTTTGATTTGGTTGTTAAGGTTATTTTTTTGGTTGTCAAATTTATCACTTTAATGTTAAGTTTTGATTAATTGTTATGTTTTTTTGGTTGTTTAAGTTTTTGGGATTAATGTTATGTTTATTGATTAATCTGTTACGGCCCACTCTTGTGGAGAGGTCCTTGGCTGTTATTCAGGCACCCACACCAGCGTTTGGTTGTCACGGTCACGCGCGTATGATCTTCTCTACTGCATTCAATGTTCCCTAGTCTTCGCAAGGAGGTGAGTTATGATAACGCTGAACACGCGTACCTAATCCCCACATTCCACCGCGGCAAACCACCATCCCTATCGCTGTCAGCTACAGGATAGCTAACGCTTACGAACCAATACAACAGATAGCTAACCTTAACAACAGGGAGGCTACACGTTAGCAACATTCCATAGTTTTTGACAAAGATAGCTAACATATAACGACCATCATAAGCTTGACAATTAACAGGCTACCTAACAACAGATAGCTAACCTATGTTAAGGAATCCATAAGCTTGACAAAATCTACAACACGATCT